TAAGTGGGCCCGAGAAGAGAAGGGCTGGCTGGCACATGCTGAAGACCCCAAGTTTGGGTGCTCAGTGTATGTCTGGCCATCGTGACTAGGCACAGGGAAAACATTTGCAGAAGCCTCTGGCTTGTTTTCCCCTTTGGTCTGGGCACAGCATATCATTGCAGCATGCCTCCACTTACCCATTGTGCTGTAGGATGGTCACATGTCCATGGAGCCCACAGATGAGGGTCAGGCACCTTTTGTTTTGGCATGCCAGCCCTCTGCCATGAGCTGTGACAACTGGGTGGCTCAGTGGACAACATTTATTGAACACGTAATGATGTGCAGGCCCTGTTCTAAGAGCTTTACATAATGGACTCACTTAATCTTCACAACTACCCCCAGTGAGGTAGACGCCATGGCTCTCCCATTTTACATATGAGAACACTGAGGCCCAAAAAGTGGGAATAAATTGCTCAAGATCATAATGTGAGTCACTGTTAGACATCAAAATATGAGATCTCAGAGGTCTCAGGAATAGAGAGTGATCTTCCTGCTTGGTGGCACCTTAAGAGATGTGCCTCATTGCCTGCTGCGCAGTGGCATTCAACACCGACTGTGTCCACGCGCCCAGCCATCCGCTTCTGTATGACCCTGAGTCAATCAAGTCACCTCTCGGAGACCCACTTCTAAACTGCAGCTCCAAGTGTCAGTACTTGAGTGTCGGAGAAATGAGGCCCAGAGCGCCTGATTGTGTCTAAACCTGCTTGGGGACAGTGGCGAGCTGGGAGGGCAGAAGGAGGTGTTGATACCACCATCCCTGGTCTCCGTCAGACTCGAGGCACACCAGCCAGTCACTCGCCTTTGTCAGAGGCATAGGCTGCTGTTATGTCAGAAAAGCTAGACCTCAGTCATTAATTCAGGAAAGATAAGAACATCTGGGCTTTGCTCACCTGCCACTGTATGACCTAGGGCAAGTCCTTTCTCCTCTCTAGTCTTCTGCATCTCCAGAGGCTGAAACTCCATGACCTCTAGGAACCTTTTAGGCTCAAGCAGTTGATGGAAAATTGTAAAGACCCCAGAGTGCCTCCCTCAACTAGTCCCTCTTTGCTACCCTGTCTGGAAAAGCCAGTGGCAAAAATGCCATCTCTCCTGTCTAATTTGTATCCATCCCCGGCATGAAGAAACTTTAGGACTAGTTTTCTGTTTCCACAATTAATGGTATTATTGTTCTTGTTCTTGTTGTTAATATTAGCTGCGTTAACTGAACTCAATGGGAAGTATGTGCTGAGTATTTTATATGCATTATCTCGTTGAAGCCTTAAAATAACCTCAGTACTATGATGATTTCGTTTCACAGATAAGGAATGTAAAGCTCGGAGGGGTTGATTAAGTAGCTCAAGGTCGTTCTCAGAGTCAGGTCAAGGAGAAGACACAGTTTGAACCTGAGACTTCCCAGAGTCCAGCACCTTGGCTCTAGGCCACCAGACGGTATGCCCTGCGGGTCACAAAGCAGATCCTCCTCCCCATTTGAAAGTCTCTGTCACTTGGGCCTCCCTGCATGGAAATATTCTGAATCCAAACAGCCAAGAAAAGAGAAATAAGAAAAAGGGAAGAAAAGAAAAAGAAGAACGTTTTGTTCCTTAAACCATCCTCCATAAACACAGTCTCTGCCAGGTGCATGACTTAGCTGTGGAGGTGACCCCCGAACCCCTGGCCTCCTTAAGCCCCCCTGGCAGCCGGCTGGTCACATGATGCCCAGACAGCCCTGGTTGCTATTCAAGCGTGTCTGTGTGAAGCTGCTCCGGCAGCACCGCTCCCACAACGGGGGCAGGCGGGGGCTTTAGTCAGCCTTGGACATGGCCCCTCACCCCTGTCAGTGTCCGCTGCCTTGGCAAGGATGCTGAATACTAGCCTGCTTTTGTGCCCCTGTCCAAGAAGCAATAGCATGGGGGAGATGAAATAGCCACTGAGGGGTAGCATAGCCATGGGGCTGAGCCTGACCTCCCATCTTCATTCATTCATTCATTCATTCATTCAATACTCACTGAATAAATATAATGTGCCTGCCACTTTTCTTAGCCCCTGGGATACAGCAGTGAGGAAAGTAGATAATATCCTTGTGGAACCTCAGTATAGCAAGGTAGAGAGCCATTAAGCAATTAAATACTCAATTAATTACTCAATTGCAACCGTGCTAGTTTTCAGAAAGTAGGAGCAAAGCATATGATCACATGCAATAGGGGCTCAGTCTTGCCAGACAGCCAATTATGAAAATCTAATGTGTTCACTCTCTCCCCATATTGCAAAGCAGACATTTGCAAGCACTTAGAATCCTGCAGGCCTAAAACTGTAGGGGCTTTGGAAAAAACATCCAAGGTGACCTCGATCCTTTTGGCAAAAGGCTGTGGAGTGGTGAGGTCCAGGGTTTAGACTTTTGAGCTGGATTTCTGGGTTTGAAACTAGCTCTTCTATCAACAGTAGACCCTTGTACAAGTGGCCAAAACAATTGTCCTTGAAAGAATGAGGATAAACAGAGTTCTAGGACTATGGGAGCAGATTAAATCAGATGCTCCATGAGAACCATTTAGCATGTGCCTGCCCTAGAGCAGCGAGTGATACAAGTCACCATCTATGATGGTTTATCTCCCTTGAGAACCAGAGGGGAACCACATGCCTTAGGAGCACCCTCCAAAAGCCTGCACTTGAACCCAAGTCTCCAAACTCCATGCTCAGTGCTATATCCAAGCACGGATCAATCCTGCATATCCAGTGGAGGAACTACTCTTCTGTGTCCACCTGCTGTGCACCAGCCTGTCACAAACACACCAGAAACCAAATCCAAGACTCAGTTCTGGGGTCTACGTCCTCCCAGGTGGCTGCACAACCTTCTTCCAGGGCACCCTGGCTTATAGGAAGGGAGAGAGGAGAAAGCATCCAACAGCGTCACCATGGCGAGAGCAGTAACTTCTCCTCATTATTTCCCAGCTCCTGGATTCATTAGCGACCCTAGTATTAATTCAGATTGCTGCATTTATCCCCATCTGTCTCAGATTCGTCATTGAGACACTGATGATGCTAATGTGGTAGGTTTCTGCTACAAAGGATCACTGCGGAGTTGAAGTTGTTGCTCAGAGCGAGAAGGACCCCAGCAATTTTTGGTTTAGAACAGGGAAGGAAAGCCCCCTACTAAACCCAGGCGCATATCCTCTAAGTCCCCAAACCCCTAAACCTGGCAGCCCATGGCCCACGGGCAGATAACCTTCCACCCTGGCCTCAGCATCAGAGAAATTCCTTTGAAATGACTCTGCAGACTTCCCCACCCACTGAGTTCTCCTTTTTGGCTAACAGATGGGCTCGGCTAACCATTCCCAGCTTTCCGATAAAGCAGTGTCAGGCAGTGAGGTCCCTTCAGAAAGGCATGCTTGGCTAATAAATTCCAAGGCACCCCCGCCATCTGCAGGCTGCCAATCACAGGGGCGCCGGGCACACCAGGGCTCCCAGACTGCTGCTGCAAAGGAGCTGGGGTAGGACCTCGGCGGGTGGGGATGCAGCCGCCCCTGCCCATGCTTGCCTGCCCCTGCTGCTCTGTCCTGCTCAGCCTGTGACCTGTCCCAGTTGAAACGTGCTGAG